TTTACTGCTAAGCTAACACAAATTCACCACTTTTACCACTAGGTGGCAAGAAAAACCCAAATAGTATCAGTTATCAAGGCCAGTACAAGATCCCAAGTACTTGAACAACTAGAAAAGCCACCAGGTGTCATCCAAGAGGGAAAAAAGACTACTCCCCCTCCCCACCACTGAAATACACGAATTCATAGTTTTAAGCAAAACCATCTAAGCTCTATCAGAGGTAAATGTCCAGCCTATTAACTGTCAAAATAGTTTGCATATTTATATTCCATGCAAGCAATTTATATAATGCTCTTGACTCCAAAACGCTGTCTTTCAACTAAAGGCAACAAATAAAACTTAGTTTCTGGATTTAAAAAAAAAAAAAACAGCAAGACCAATGAGCCCAACAAGTCATGATTTAGAGCTTCATCCTATCTAAATACACTGCACAAAATAATTTAAATTGGTTTACACACAAAAATCTTCCAAAGGGTATTTGGTTATGTATACACAATTTGAGATTCATATTCTTTTCTCCCCATTTCTCTCTTACAGGTAATTTCATTGACTCCATATAATCTAGATAATTTTATGCTGTTAAGCCTTGCTCCCCAGTGTGATACACCAAAGCACTCCAATTTGTTACCAAAACATTCTCAATAAAGAGACAAATGGACTTGTCCTTAAGATAGATGTATTATGTGAATTATTATGTTGAACAGTCCAAAGCTGAAAATTAAAATTCAAGCTTCACAGAATTAAGTCCTAGTTATATAACAAATCATTCTTTTTTTTAAAAAACCATCCTCTGGGCTTCACTAACTTCTAACAATGATTTTTCAATGCTGCTGTAAACACTGTGTCAGCTAAAACACTATGTCACGCTGCCTTTTATAAGGTGGTACTTTTTTAGGCCAAATCCTATTCTTAACCCTCTGGACACAGGAATTGCAATCATGTCATACCCCGCAAATCTAGCTGTAGGTGGTGTCTCAAAAAAAGGATGCCTTCTTCCTTCGAGGAAGTGGTCAAACCTTTTTCCCCTGGTGTCATCAAGCAAACATCTTGGTTGTTTTTCATTGCTATCAAATTAAGAGATGGAAGAGAAAGCAGTGGAGGAGAAAGCAAAATATAATGATTAAATTATAAATGCTTCTCTTCCTTACTCCTTATTGCAATCTCTTTTAAGGTCTCGACTGGGTCATTTCCACCCTGCCTACAAGGCACTGGTCTTTTTTTAAAAAACCCAAACCAAGAATGCTCTTGTCTACTGAACATTATCTCTTCTCTGGTTTTTATTACATTTTCTTTTGAAATTCGTTAAGATTATGCTCAGCGACCAGCCCTTGCCCAACCGGTTTCTCCCTTCCCCCATCTCTCTACACACATCACTTTTTCCTCCTCCCATCCAGGCAGTGGGCAAAACTCTGCAGTGCCGCGAACGCACGCTTCGGGCCGGTCACTCAGCAGTTTTATCCTTACTGGCCCTTGCAAACAGCTCCCCACCCAAACCTTGTCCCCCGGTGGCCCCCTCGGCCATCATCTTTCTACTAGAGTGTGCTCGGTAAGGGACTCCGGCTCACACATCGAGGGTTTACGGTAGCCTGCCTACCAATAGGAGGCCACAATGCAGAGAAGTCTGGTTCAGCCTCCCGGCAGCCCCAGTATCTTCCTCCCGTGGCTTACACCTACTGTACCCGCGAGCGAGCAAAAGCGCCGGGGAGCGAGCCGGGCGCGGGAGGGGGCGCGCTGGGAGGGCCGACAGCAGCCGCGGCGTGCGCATGCGCACCGGGGTTGTTTTTCACAAAGCTCCTCTTAAAGTGAGCTGGCAGCTTCCAGCCGCCCGTCTTTGTAAGGAGACCACTGAGACTCGCAGGAGCGCGGAGCAGCCAACAGCCTCTGTGCTGCCCTGACTTTTTAAGAAATCTCAATGAACTATTTGTAAAGAATCGCTGATCTGCCTGCAAGCTTTTTGCACGGCAAAGACATCGATCAGTGTTAAGTGAGGATCACATCGTATATGTGATCTTGACTTTTTTTGTCTTACATTATATTTTTTATAGATTTTGTTATAAACATGGTGCTGGGAAAGGTAAAGAGTTTGACAATAAGCTTTGACTGTCTTAATGACAGCAATGTCCCTGTGTATTCTAGTGGGGATACAGTCTCAGGAAGGGTGAATTTAGAAGTTACGGGGGAAATCAGAGTAAAATCTCTTAAAATTCATGCAAGAGGACATGCGAAAGTACGCTGGACCGAATCGAGAAACGCCGGCTCCAATACTGCCTATACACAGAATTACACTGAAGAAGTAGAATATTTCAACCATAAAGACATCTTAATTGGACACGAAAGAGGTAAGTGTTTTTTTTTAACATTGTTAAGAAATTATTAGACCTTTCTTTGGAAAGTACCTTTTCAATTTTTCTGAATTAATCTAATCCTGCTCCTGGAAACATATAGCAGTTTGATAAAGGTTAGCAAAGTTAGAAGATTTGGATTCTCCTTGACATTCATCGTGTGCTAAGCCGTAACGCATGCAGGCATCTGCAAAGTGACTGCAAACTGCACTTATTCAACTACCTCTATACCCGGCTTGGTTTGTGCCATACGCATTTGGAATCCATTTCAACCTTACATATAAATTAAAACCGATTCAGTAATTTTACTTATATGTTTTCAAATGAATTGCTAAAAGCTGCAGTCCAATATTGGATTTTTCCCTTATACGCTGCAACCTGAGATCTTAAAAACTAAGCTTCAGTGAAGAAATAACACTTTAAAGTGGGTTAATAGGTGTATTTCATTTTTTAATACTGACATGCAAAAGACTTTTAAAGAATTGACCGTAGTTCTTTGATAAAGGGTTTCTGTGGCTTATTTTGACATATGGTATCAACACCCCACGTGTTTTTTCCCTATTCTTTCCAATTCCTTCAGAAATTTACATCAGGCGTTCTCTATTTTAAAGGACAGCACCTATCATGATGATGTGTTAAAAATCAGTTTTAGAAGCCATTGGGGTCAGAAATTTTCTTTTCCGAGCATCATGCCTAACTTTGGAACGTGGATTCAATGAAACCCCTGCCAGTCAGATGGAATTGAAAAGTATTCGGCTCATTGGATTTGATTTTTGGTTAGAAAAGGAAGATAAAGGGTTGTCAAAGGGAAAGGGGGTCCTGAGATTTCCAATCTATTGTTTAAATGGTTACATTGTGGAAATATAGGAGACTCTAAGCTTGTTTTTCTAAGTTTCCACCCTTTGTTAGAAGCGGTTCAATCCTGTTTCGGACCAGTTCTGGGGGGTGGTGAGGAGGGGCGCTTGTTCTGCTCTCAGCAGATTGGTTACACGCGTCAGGTGGTGGCGATGACTTAATTCCTAGCCCAAGAAGAATATAATGTGAAAACTGGTTATGTAATTTTGTGCTTCTCCTTTTTAATGCAGTATTTAGTTCGAATGTTGACGATTTTTCAAAAAATAAGAGCACATTTTTAACCTTTTTTTAATTAAAAAATACACACTCATGAGGAAGTGCTAATTGAACTAAGGCAAGTGTGGAAACGTAGGGTGCTTTGAGTTACAGCATGAATGCATTATTTTTAAAGTATTCAGATGAAATTAGTCTTTTAATTGCGTTTTCAGTTACACAGATCATTTGCATCCTGAAATAATTTCTAGTTAGTCTCTTCAAACAGTGACAGTCATAAGAAATGGAACTGCCCAATGACAGTCCTGGTATTGGTTGAACAGGACGCCCAGGAGTTTGTATTTGATCCTTCCTAGACTGGTAGCCTTTTTTAAGATGGGTTAGAAGAAACAGGTTTTAAAGGAGTTGAGGTGTGCAGTGGGGTAAAAGAATAATACGACGACTTACGGGGACAAACACAAATTTCATTGCTTGCGCCACGGTTTTATAGTGAAGAACACTGTGTTGCCCCACACCCCACCCCCCACGGGACACCCCTCAACCCCTTCAAGCATGGACGAGCTCTTCGGCTTGGAAGAGTTTCAATGACTTTAGAACTGGGACCTCTCAAACTAGCCTGGTATCTGAGGCCCCGCCCCGGGCGGCCGGCGATAGGCGGAGCCGGGTTTGTTAGCCTGTTGCTAAGGCGATGCCAGGCTCTGATTGGATTGGGCGCAGGCGGGTGGGGAGTGGGGGCTCGCCGGCTGGGGCGAGGCTTGGAACCGGCGTGCGCCGGTAAAGGTCCCTCTTGAGCCGCCGCCGCCCCCGCTTCTGGAAGCGCACGGGGCTCCTGTCACATAACATTCTCTCCCCCACCCCCTCTACCTCACCCCCCTTGCAGACCTGGAAAGGGACGACTCCAAGTTTCAACAGAAGGGAGAGGCAAGCCTTCCAAGCGGCCCTGGGCGCAACTTTTTAGCTGACAGTTCTCTGTTCGCGGGGGAAGTTGGGTGGGCCGGGTTAGCCGGACCGCATTTTCTAGATTTTTCAGGTGGAAGTTGTTAGGCAGCTCCTTTGACCGCTTGTCCCCGCTCCTAGCTAAAACAAAAGCACGTTGCCCGGTCTCTGCAGTCAGCAGACGGGCTACCTTGATTTGCCCTGAGGGCAGAGCGAGCCCCAAGACGGGCCGGGACGGGGAAAGTGACACCAATATCGAAGGCAGGGTTTGGGGGGGGAGCCTCGGCGAGTCTTCCCTGCCATCACCACCCCCGCCATTGTTCCCCCCACCACCACCTAGCTTTTGCGTCTATTCGACGCCACCGCCCCCATTTCCTTTGCCGCAAATGTAAAGGTGTCAGGGTGGCCCGAGCCAGATCGAACCGGTCACCGGCTGGGGCGTGTAAAGCGGAAGCGCTGCAGCGCGCTGGCCCCGCCCCCCTCTCCCCCCGCCGCCAGCAGGTTAGGCTGTGCGAGCGCGAGCGCGAGCGCCGCGCGACGTATGCCGTATGTATAGCGGGGCGCGCGGGCGGCGGCGGCGGCGCGCGGGCGGGCCGGCTGGGATCTGCTCGCGCCGGTTTAGGCCGGTCCTCTCCTGCTCCGGTCTAGTTTTTGATTGACAGCCCGGCACTTGTTTACCACGGCGCGGCCGCCGCCGCCGCTCGCCTCAATGAGACTGCTGAGCTGGCACAAAAAGGGAGCGAGAAGGGAAGAAAAGCAGCGACAGGGAGGCAAACTTTGGGCGCCTTCAGTAGGGAGCGGTTTTAAATGGCCCCCAACTTATCAGCCGGCTTTCAGGGCCGAAATCCCAGAGAGAGAATTTGCACGGGGGTGGGGGAGAAGAAAAAAATTCTGCCGACAGAAGACTGACTGATGGTTATTGAATAAAAAGTATCCACATATAGGCACCTTTTTTCCCCCTCTGAGGGAGGCATCATGTTTTTTGTGTCTATTTATTACTCTTTTAAGGGAAAGTTAAATGATAAAAGCCGTTTCTGATAGTCTCCTAGTTAATGATAAAGGTTTCTACACCGAGGAAACTGCATTAGTAGACATTTAACTAGGTAATTAAATTACCTAGTTAGAACGCTTCAGAAAAGCATGTTAAGAATCCAGAACCCCCTCCCATATTTCCCTGTGTTTATTTTTGAGATATTTTGAAAAATCACCTATTTGATGAAAAGAAATTGGATGTAAACTCAAAGGTCATCCTGTTTTTTTCTAGCGTTGGGGAACATCCTTATCTTCGTTTTTCAAGGATGTATGACCTGTTTTTTCCCGTTAAACGTGCACATTGTAAATCTAAGGTACATCTTATATATATATGCGAATTTTTAGGTATTAGGACAGACTGCGGTCATAATTTTAGATTCAGTAAGAATTTTTATTTTTGACTATGAAACCGACATTAAAATCACTGTTCCTTTTTTTTTTTTTAAACTCCCAACATCTACTTGACAGTTTTCTAATCGTTTTGGAGTTTTCACATTCACGTTTTCTGTATCAAAACTGACATTTTTTAAAAGGTTTACGGAATAGTTCTCGTTTTATATATAGGCTTATTAGGATAAATTTAAGCAAGTGGTTGAAGACAAAGGTAACATCTTAGTATGAGATATGAGGTCTGAGTCTTATGTTAGCCTGTGGTATATTAGATGTAGATGCTTTGCAGTTTAGGTTGTTTTCCATTAAAAACTCACCTATGGGGTATAAATATTAATTATCCCCATTCTACAGATGAACCAGCTGAAGACAGGACTTTTATTTTACCAAGAGGAAGTGATGAAGTTGGAATTAGAATTCAGATCTCTCACTCCAAAGTTTGTGGCCTTACTTAACTATGTGAGCACATTTAAAGTTCTGACACCGCGAAGAGTGTGCGAAGGTTTATCAATAAATTTTTTGTTTTCCTTTTCTGTTTGTTTTAGATGATGATAATTCCGAAGAAGGCTTCAACACTATTCATTCAGGAAGGCATGAATATGCATTCAGCTTCGAGCTTCCACAGACGTAAGTATTTTGTTAACAGGCATTTTTCATAAACATCCTTTCTTTTAAAATGAAACATTGTACATTTAAATATTTTTAGTTTTTTAAAAAAACCCTTTTCATTACTGAAACTTGCTAGAGGAAAACAATGTACTAAAAAAAAGAAGCTATATTTTAATCTAGAGTGGCAAAATTATAGAAGGCAAACCTTAATTCTTAGTACTCTGTCTCAGAATTTATATGGTGTTTTAAAGTATTTCATTTAAAGTGAATTGGAAGGTGCTAGTCAAATGGTAAGCACTTAATAGTTTACCATCAGCATTAGCTGGAAAAAAGAGAACATATCAAGTCTGTCATTTAGTAGTTTATAAAAATTAAGTGTTCTATGCTTTGTACCGATGCTTACCAACAGCAGTAAGCTAAGAAGGTCAAAATAATTAGGAATATCTTAACTTGAGAAGTAATGTGTGTTTCTGATATGAATTCATTAGCTTCTGTGCAAGGAGCTATTAAGAATGTCACAGGAGATATTGTGACCTAGACTTAAAAGGAAATGTCAATCAGAGATATCTTAATATAAGGCCTGGAATATAGTATGAAAGGAAGAAGGAAAGTAAAATATTCATGATGTAATCATAAGGTATTAGATCTGGAAATTATACAAAAAGCAGTTTTTAAAATGTCTTAACAGATATTAAAGCATGCAAAGTGGTACTTGTAATGTTTGTTCTGAAAGATAAACTTGCATTACAGAAGATCTTGTCAAGTGCCAAATGTACATAATTCTGTGTGTTCTTTAATTTTAGTACTTATTATATGTGGATAGAGTTTATAAGGAGTATTTTTCAGAGTATTTATCATATTGCTAAGAACATTTTTAATATAATACCCTAATTACTTTCTAAGAGAAATATTTTAAGTTTGTAAATACAATAGGGCTAATACAATTGGGTCTGAATATTTTCAAAGGATGAAGATAATTTAATATATATATTTTTTAATTCTTTCAATAAACCACAGTCATTTAAAATAAACTGTAGAAGTCTTGCATAGATCTTGCATTTTATTTCTCTGTGCTATACAAATTAATGCAGAAGTCTAAAATGTAAAACAAAGTAAACACCACTACGCCTCAAAAAAACTAGCACTCTACCTTGTAAATAAACGAACCTTGTGCGTTTGTCTGATGAAATTATGAAAAGGAGACTAAATTCACTAAAATAAAATCTTCCACAAGTAATACAATCTGAGAGAGTTGAAAAAGAATTCTAATTCTTTTGATACAGGTCAACAGAAGAAATTCTTTTTCAAGTCTATAATGTAGTTAGAAAACATGGCCAAAAAGAGTTAGAACATAAGTAAATTAGGAAGTGGGAAAGCATTTTTTGAGAGATCAGTGGACTTAATGAAATGTAAAAAGCTTTTGAAGCCATAATGATTATTCCAGACCTTTTCTGGATCTTAATTAGTTGCTATAATAGGAAATAGTAATTTTTAGCTAATGAAAAATGGAGCACCATAGGGAGTTTGGTCTGAATGTTTAACCAGAGTCTAGAATTTCTCAAGAGAAATAGTTAAACCATTCTTAATTTTATTTTTAAACTAAAGTCTTGATGTTTTCAAAAATGTTCATTTCCAGACTTTGATAATTTTGCCACCAGCATTAAAAGTAGCCTCTTCTTAGTTTAAAGCAATTGTATTCTTCTGGCTTTTTTTTAACCAAATTTCTGCAATATTTGACAATTATCTATTATTATTTGGAAGGTTTTTTCGCCCCCAATGACTTATCCCTTTGGAAATATAAATTACGCCTTCGATACCCCATTGGTGTATAAACATATAATACATTAACACTTCTATGCTGACCTACTGTACAGTTAATTAAAAAGAGGTGTAAGATTAATATATGATCTTTATATTCTGCACAGACCACTTGCTACCTCATTCGAAGGCAGACATGGCAGTGTGCGCTATTGGGTGAAAGCCGAATTGCACAGGCCTTGGCTTCTACCAGTAAAATTAAAGAAGGAATTTACAGTCTTTGAACATATAGATATCAACACTCCTTCATTACTGGTAAGAATTGACTGAATTCTTCATTCTCTGTTTTTGGCATATAAATACTAAAGAATAATCATCTAAACTATGTATTCTTTACAATTTTTAAATAGTAACTTCATTTTTAAGTTACGTAAATGTTTTCCAAACTACAGTGAAGAGCAATACCAATTAATGCAGAATATGCTCATATTTTCTGATATTGTAATAAATTTAAGTAAATATTTAAAATAAGACCAATATTTGGTATGAAATATCTCTTAACTCAGAAGATAACAAAAGTAACAAAAATAAATCTGTTCCCTGGACAGTTTTAGTGGAAAAGGAACAGTAATATCGATTATTACTATAATAATATCACTTACCTTGAAAATATTATAATCTAAAATTTGTACTGCATTGCATTACTCCAATACAGGGATAGTTGTCAAATCATGGGGAGATTATTATTTTCATGAAAAAACTTAGATTCTGTTTTAAAGAAAATCTTTTTTAATTGTATTTTTTCACAAGTTTCAAATTTGAATTCAAAACCTTTACTTGGTTTAAACAAATAATAACATCTTTACACAAATAAGAATCAATCTTACAAATGAATTTTCTTTTTTTACATTCTGGGTTTTACATTCTCAAAGATGTTATCATTTGAGATTATAACCAAGTTGCTTTCCAAAACTGCCTCTTTTTTTTTTTTTTTTTTAATAAAGGCAGTTTAAATAGAATGTGGAAAGGGTTTTTTTGTTTTTTCCTGTTTTTTTTTAAGTTGGTTTTTAATTACTATGTATGTAGTGCGTGCTAAAACTATGTTTATGAAATATGTTAAACCCTTTTTTCTTTAATTGAATGGAAACTTGTATAAAGACAGAAATACCAGTATAAATTAAAAGCTGTCGGTTAATGGAAAAGTATATTTGCTACAGAAAATGAAGCAACGTTGCTTTTAATGTTAAATTATTCAGGAATTGAGAATTGTATTTTAAAAATTTTATTCCTGTCTCAATTCATACCTTGATCTTTTTCTCTAAATTTATATCTTACAGTCACCCCAAGCAGGCACAAAAGAAAAGACTCTCTGTTGCTGGTTCTGTACCTCAGGCCCCATATCCTTAAGTGCCAAGATCGAAAGGAAGGGCTATACGCCAGGTATGTATGAGGTGGACTCCCACTAAGACTGATCTTTCTACATTTAACTTTTGTGCATGAATTTGCATTTTTTCTACTAAATGGAAAGATGATACAGTATTCTTTGGTGAGCTGTTATAAATTGTGCTTATCCAGTTTCCTTCTGTAGATTGGGATGTAGTCTAGTGTTTTAAATGGCTGCTGTTAAGTGTGTAGTTGATTTTTAAAGTTATTGCCACTCTTAGGGTGGCTTCTTAATCCACATGGTTCACTGAACTTTCAAACTTTAGTTCAAGAATCTACATTTGTTTGGGGGTTGGTTAGTTGGTTTTTAACAGTAGATATATATATTTTTTTTTCATGTAGGTGAATCAATTCAGATATTTGCTGAGATTGAGAACTGCTCTTCCCGAATGGTGGTGCCAAAGGCAGCCATTTACCAAACACAGGCCTTCTATGCCAAAGGGAAAATGAAGGAAGTGAAACAGCTTGTGGCGAACTTGCGTGGGGAGTCCTTATCATCTGGAAAGACAGAGACGTGGAATGGCAAGTTGCTGAAAATCCCACCAGTCTCCCCCTCCATCCTGGACTGCAGCATCATCCGTGTGGAGTATTCACTGATGGTGCGTACAGGTTTAAGGGTTTGGCGTGGATGTTTTTTGAAGTCTTAATGTCATAAGGGTATCATTTTTGTCTTATATCTAGAATATGATTTTTTTGTTCCATATATGATATATATAGGTATATGTAATTCTTTGTGTAACTTGGACTTTAATTTCTAATTTTACCTGAGGTCAGTGCACCGTATAATAGTGTACATAATGGAGAAACTTTTCAAGTATATCATTAAAAAATGAAGTAAATGAGGGCCTCAGATGACAATAGATTGAGTTATTCATTTTTAAAAAAGAAATAGTACTTGGCATTCTAAACCTTTCTTTTCATCGTTAAGGTATATGTGGATATTCCTGGAGCTATGGATTTATTTCTTAATTTGCCACTTGTCATTGGTACCATTCCTCTACATCCATTTGGAAGCAGAACCTCAAGTGTAAGCAGTCAGTGTAGCATGAATATGAACTGGCTTGGTTTATCCCTACCTGAAAGACCTGAAGGTAATAATTTGATAATGTGTATCTAAGCTTAATCTGGTATTTGCAAGAAAATAATTTTGCTTCTGATATTTTATGATTAGATAAAATTTGTCTGTATTGAAGAGTGGGGTGTGCCCCTAATGTTAGGTTTAAAGTGTATATCCCCCTAGTTTTAATCACAAGATAGATTATTATTATTTTACTTTGACATTCCTTTTTAATACCTTCTATTCTGTGTATTTTGACATGCATAAGAACATGCTGTTCGAATTGCGTGTATCTTTTTCCTTCAGCACCACCCAGCTATGCAGAAGTGGTAACAGAGGAACAAAGACGGAACAATCTTGCACCAGGGAGTGCTTGTGATGACTTTGAGAGAGCACTTCAAGGACCACTGTTTGCATATATTCAAGAGTTTCGTTTCTTGCCGCCACCCCTTTATTCAGAAGTAAGCATCACACCCTCAAGTACAAAATGGGCTGACTCTTAGTAAGCAGTATTGCAGAGTTTCTGAAAATACAATTAGGTTTTAATATCATGGTAAGAGAATAATAAATAATTTTGAACAACAGGTTAAAAGTTAGATCAAGATTGTCAATACAGTCTCACCCAGACATTGGACTAGTCTCTTATATTATTGGCTAAATAAAGATAATGATCTAACCCCATGCATGTAACATGCTAGTTAAAGGAATAAATATTTTAAAGCATCTATAGAACTGGCATTTGCAACCATTGACTAAATAGCCAGAATTTATCTTACTCGTCATCCTTTTTAATTTTCGTATTTCAACATTCTCAGTGATAGGGGAAAATAACATTTGCAGTAACGTACTTAAACAGCATTCCTACACTGTTAGATTATTTTTATTCGTCTCAAGTAACTGAGCACTTCTATGAATAAAACATGGCCCTTATTTGGGAGAAGCGTATAGACTGGTGAGAAAAAAACAAACTTAGAAGCAAAATATTACATAACAACGTGATAGGAATGCACAGTTCATTTAAGGAGCAGCTTATTGGATCTTGAGAATCAGGAGGGACTTCCCTAAGAAGGTGATTGTTAAGCTGATTCTTAAAAAGTAAGTTTTCTCAAATGTAGAATATTCCAGGCAGGAAGAAAAATATACGCAAAGGAAAGGAGTTGGGAAAGAATCCAGCAATTTCAGGATACTTCAGAATATATATATATGCATATATGTAATATGCATTGTAAGAGACTTCTAGAATTGGCCTTGGTAACAATATATTACCAGATAATTTTTTAAATCATTAGAATCAGCTTTTGCTTTTTGGTTGCTATAGTTTAGACAGCTATTTTGCAGTGAAATACTACTCCCAAGAAAGATACAAGAGGATTGTTTCCCTCTTCAACAAGTTGCTTTTATTTTTTTTTCCCCTTAATACCATGACTAGAAGAGTCAGTTGTCCTTTGGATGTGATTAATATGAAATCCACTGTATTCATTGATTATAGGATGTTCCAAAATCTGTTCTGTTCTCTGCAAATTCTTGTTTGGACATAGTTTTTTTTGTTTCACTATTTCAGTTCATGAAATTTTTCATTAGATGCTAAAAGTATCCTCCCACTTTTTAGAAATACTGTCACTACATTTTTATTTTGATATTTCTGTCTTGCTTATTAAGTCCCTCTTTTGTGATTTGATCTGAGGCTTCCTAGTTGTACAACAGGCATTTTTAAAGAATGGCAATCTTAAGTATCCACTTTTAAGCCATTTGTCATAAAATTCTACCTTCTTTTAAAATGAACTAAAGCTAATTAAAAGAATATAAAACTTTTAAAAGCCTAAATTGGTATAGGATGTGATTTAACTGTTTAACATCTAGCCACATTTAGGGATGGGGGAGTTCTCGATTGTATTAAAGCTATTTTGAATTTTTTTTTTCTTTAAAGGATAGTCATTAAAAAGAAAAGTGTAAGTGCATATGAAAGTCACTACAGAAAGAAGCAAAATGGGATGCCTCTGGAGCATTTGGGTTCATCATTATTACTTCTTGATACACACTGTATTCCTGGGCCCTCTCTGGGGCTTTACTCTTATGAGCTATCACCTCAAGAACATTGTTTACACAGCTACATTCTTCCCAAAGCCTAGGGAAAACATCAGTTGACTTTTTTGTAACAGGATGAAAGGGAAACTTTACAGGAGAAAATCATTGCTATGAAAATGTTGGCCATTATATATTTAAGTCCTAAGTTCTATTAAGTGCTGAATAAAGCTCCTGTTATCTGATAAAATATTACCCTTAGCTTTTGTCAAATAAAACTATCCTGGCATACCTTTACAATGTAGTTGTTACTCTAGTAATTGAATAGCAAGTACTTCATAAATGATACTAATCCTCTTTCTTCCCCATACAAGCCCTTTATGTTCATTCTGATTACATTTCTCAATGTAATCAGATTTCTGATTACAGCATGCAAAACATTTAGCCTGTTTGCCACATCCTTACTAAAAGCTATCAGTTAACTTCGGTTTTGAGGGTTTTGTTTTTGTTTTTTCCCTTTCTAGATTGATCCAAATCCTGATCAGTCAGCCGATGACAGACCATCTTGCCCCTCTCGCTGAAGGAATACTTGGTTAAATCAAGTTGATGTGGGTTCCGAACTGTATCTCTTCCCTTCCCGGCTGAGGACAGAGAAGTATCTTGGAGACATGTTTTCAGAGGAAGTGGAATAGCTTTTGCCCAGAAAAATGGCAAACATGAAACAACCAGTGATCACGCTTTAGAAGCCTACAGCAACATTCTGGGACTGCTCCAACATGCTTGAAGATCTAAGCTTTTCTCCTTTAAAACTGGCACATACTAAGAGCAGTCTTCTTAGCCTATGGTCATACGTGTCAAGACACCACGTTGTAAAGAGGGATGATTTCCTTCTTTTGATTTGAAAATTTGCACATGCTCAATGCTTACATTGTGCGGTTCAATGTCACTACAGCTTTTTTTTTTTCCATTTATGCCAGACTCTTGATACTCTTTTAAAACTTGTTTGTGGTGAGCACAACAAGGAACAAAAGAAAGCTTTGAAAGAAAAACTTTAACATGAAAAAAAAATGCACTGACATTTTTTTTTTTTATTATTTAATATAGCCTGGACTTTACCTGCGTATGCACATGCTCAGAATTGTCCTACTAGGCTGACCATGTATCACCTCTTCAGCTTGGATCCTATTGTGGATTTATTTACAAACATCAAATGCCTTCAAGCCAATCCTTCTTGCTGTGTGTTTGCAGCCTACTGTGGTAGATAAGCAACAGATATGTGGGAAAAGAGATAAGAGGAGGAAGCTAATACGAGACTTTGTCAAGATTGTATACCTTCTTGGTTTCTTTTAAGAATTTGTTGCCTTTCTACTATTACAGCAAAGCAGCATTTTGTTACTGACTGCCTAAAATCACTTAATCTCAGGTGAACGCATCACTTGCCAAACTGTTGGAATGCTATTTGTGTTTTGTTGCACTGTTGAGTTATTTTTTTGTTTGTTTGGTTGGCTTTTTGGAGAGGGAAATTTGGAAAAGGGACATACACAAAAGTGATAACCCACCCGCATTCCCTTCTTATCATTACATATAAGAAGAAGCTAGCAGAGCTGAGAAACGGAGTCAAGAAAGGCAGTATGGCAGGCACCAGCAGAGAGTTAAGGGCTGTTGCTCTTACAAGTTATTGTTATTTTTTATTATTATTTTAAAAGTATGGAAGTTTTCCAGTCACTGGAAAGGAGGAGATAGTGCATTTATTTTTATACAGAGTTACTTAATTACCTCCAAAACACATATGTTGGAAATCATTTTTGCTGGTGCAGAGTATTTCCATGTGCAGGAATATGTATGTTCAGATTATGAGAGAGCTCATTTTATACATTTCCTGTCCTGCTCAAGCTTGACAGCTTGAAAGCCCCAGTATATTATAGAAGTATAGAATGTCAAAATTACAAATACTAGACTATTTGTTGAAATAGTAACTTATATTTTTCTGTTTTTTTTTTTTTTTTAAACAAAAGTATGTTTTTCCATAACCTAAAGAAGATTTTGCTAAACGAGAGAAATCATTCACTTTGAGTATGTATAGTTATGAAGAACGATCACATCAGTAAATTACAGAAAGTATGAAAGATAATTTACAGTTGACTCATAAGTATACCAGCATTCATGAAGACCCTTAAAACTGCATTTTCCAAGGTACCAAGTGTACTGAATGTCTTTATTTTAGAAGGATTTCGGCTCTGTTTTTTGTGTTTTTTTTTTTTTTTTTAATGAAAATCGGCATCTCTGATGTTGCAACATATGTGTGAAATGGGTCTTACATCTATCCTGCCATTTAATCCCACAGTTAATAAAGTGGCTGAAAATAATAGTAACTCTGGCTTGGTGCTTGACCTGGTTAAATACTGTCTTAAAGCTTCATACAAAACAAATAGGCTTTTCCATAAGTGGCCTTTAAGAAAACATGGAAGACAATTCATGTTTGAAAAATGCTGACAGGGTGAAGAAAGCCCATGTAAAAATGAATCGCGTTTTAAGTGATTCGGTTAAAGGGTTTGGGCTCCCGTAGCAAACTAATACTAGATAATAAGGAAATGGGGGTGAAATATTTTTTTATTGTTGTTAAATCATTTTGTGAATGTCCCCCTCAAAAGAAGCTAATGGAATATTTGGCATAAAGGGCATTTGGTGGTTTTATTTTCGTTGGGGGTTTGGGGGGGGGATTGTCAGAAAATCCCTTTTCTTTTCTCTCTTCTTACGTCTAACTGACTAGGGAACAATTGTTGATAATGCATAGCGTTGGAATACTTATCACCATATACTCTTATAAATAACACATGAGGAAAGAATGACCAATATTCTAATAATTGGCACTGGGTCACAAAATGTGATACAATTTTAAATATAGAAAACTTTATCAAATAAAGTTTTATTTCCCCCATTATTCCTTTACTTTCTTACTTAGAGGCATTACTCTTTTCTAAATATTGGTCAATTCTTGATATAAGATGTGAGCTTCACAGGTGTATTCCAGTATTCAAAGATAGATTCCTGATTTTTCAATTAGGAAAAGTAAAATCCAAAATGTTAGCAAAACGAAGTGCAATATTAAATGTTTGCTTTATAGATTATATTCTATGGCTGTTTGTAATTATCTTTTTTCTTCTTTTTTATTTGGTGCTGAATATGTCCTTGTAGGCTGTTTTAAGAAAACAACATGTGGGAAATGATTTAATTTTTCCTATTGCTCTTCCTTGTGGAAAATAAAAGTGTTTCTTTTTTTTTTTCTTTTTTATAAAATTGTTTGGAGATTTATTTGAATTTTAATAATTTCAGTAACTCATCATACATGCAAACACTATTAAGACTACAATTAGGGAGTTCCATGGTGGTCTAGTGGTTAGAATTAGGCTCTTTCAATGCCGTAGCCCAGGTTCAACCCTAGTCCAAGAACTGAGGTCCTCCAAGCCATGTGGCATGGCCAAAAAGTTAAAAAAAAAAAGACTACAATTCTTATTTTAATCCATGCTGGATAAGAATTCTTTCTAGGTCTCGAGAGGTGTAGAGGAATTTTTAATATAAATTATCAGTTTTACTTAATTCATTAAGTGATAGATGCTTTTTTTATAAAATTTAGAAGTTTTATATATTTCCATGTATATATGAACCAAACTGAACCAGGTATGTTTTCACTTTTCAGGTACTAAATCCTCTCTCTGATGTGTCCCAAGTTTCTAGTATTTCAAGAGCATATAAATTTAGAAATTGTATTAATCTAATCTTAAAACAATTTTTCTAAATGTTAAAACTTTTTTTCCTCAAAGAATGTCTGGATTTTATAGTGATTTGTAACATTAAGAAGTAACATTTGGAATCACACTTAGAAGTTAATCTTAACAGTGTTTATATACTCATGGATGAGCTATCAAGTTGTATATGTACATTACTATATGATTCTCCCCTATTCTCAAATGTATATACACATGGAAGAAGTGTGTTACGAAGAGACATGAAGAGACATTTACAATCGATTTTATAGCAACACACTATCATCCTTGTTAAGTAAAAGCAGTCTGCACAATATTTTAATACAATAAGGAAGTAAAAATGACTAGGAGAGGAATCATGAGAAGGGAACATCTGTGTTCTGGGTTCTTTGACTTTAGATAAAACTTTGTACAAGATGGAATTTTGATTTCTTCATCTACAGAGTGGAACAGTATGCAGTTAAAATACAACTTTAGGTAAAGAAATAATGCTCTATGTCAGTTTCTGAAACGTTGGAAATTAACCATGTTACTTCTAAATTTGCATTTGAATACTTCTAGTTCAGTATATATCTCAAGTTACATAAAAGTGAGTTGCCTGGGTCTAATTTTTTCTTATAGCATCTCAGTTCAGTTTAGTCGCTCAGTCGTGTCCAACTCTGTGACACCATGGACTACAGCACACCAGGCCTCCCTGTCCACCACCAACTCTCGGAGTTTACTGAGACTCATGTCCGCTGAGTTGGTGATGCCATCCAACCATCTCATCCTCTGTCGTCCCCTTCTCCTCCCGCCTTCAATCTTTCCCAGCATCAGGGTCTTTTCCAATGAGTCAGTTCTTTGCATCAGGTGGCCAAAGTATTAGAGTTTCAGCTTAGCAAATTCCCTGTGTCGTTAATTTATTGAATGGTCAACATTGGTATATTTATCAGGACTTTTGAAAATCGTAACAGGGAGAAACTCAGACTAGCTTAAGTAAAATAGGTTAAATAGTAATTCCAGGGATGAACTGTATTAAGCACATTTGGATCCAAAAATCCAAATACTAAAAGGATACACTTATCTCTGTTGACTCACCTTTTTTGTATTACCATTAGTCTTATCAGACTCATTCTCTGTTAGATGGGTCAGGAAAGATGGCCTCAGCTTTTATAACTCACAGAAGAAATGTTACCTTAAGCCCCCAAGACATTTGTTAGGGAAACTCCTAGTTGGCCAGTACCTTGTTCATGTTCCATGCTACCTAGAATGGATTTCCCATTAGAATTTAGTTTCCAGAAGAGAGAAAAGTGAAAGTCGTTCAGTTGTGTCCGACTCTGCAACCCCATAGACAATACAGTCCATGGAATTCTCCAGGTCAGAATACTGGAGTGGGTAGCCATTCCCTTCTCCAGGGGATCTTCCCAACCCAGGGATTGAACCCAGGTCTCCCACATTGTAGGTGGATTCTTCACCAGCTGAGCCACAGGGAAAGATCAGTATATTTTTACTGTTCAAGTGTTGTTCAAATCAGCAGTAATGGCATCATCTGAGAAGAGGAAAATATCAAGGTCTGTCTCAGAATATTGACCCAAAGCACCTGTTGACATGATTCCCAGGTGATTTGTAAATGCAACAAAGTTTGAGAAAGCAGCACACGAAACAAAATATAAAATGGAAGCAATAGGCAAATTTGTTCTCATGAATATCAAGATGTAATTGAATTGAGGATTTGGGGCACTTAAGGAGTGAAAAATAAACTGGCCATTTCAAATCCCACAGCGTATTCATGGCCTGATATTTTTGAGACAGATCTTTGGAATTACTGAGATGCTAGCAGTTACTATACCTTTAGAACCCTCACATCTACAATCAGCATTTCTCAATGCTCTTCCATGACTGATTTTGCCTTTTCATGATACAAATCAATACAGAGAGGAAATACATTTTTCAAGTCATGAGAAAAGAAACAATAAATTTTATTTTGACTTTTGAGGATTGTAAGTCTGCAATCCTACGATGAAAAAACATTTTTAGGAAAATAACCAGAAGATGTATATACACGAATATGGAAAAGTCCAGGACAACTAGTAGTTTAAAAATCCAAAAGCACATGCCCAAATGGAAATGGAACCAGTATTGCTGTCTGACTGTGGAATAGCACAAAGGTAAATATAAAAAAATTTCCTTTCAAACTAGCTTCACAAATGTCAACGTACGCAAGTAATGTCAAGATATTATACAGAGACAAAAAGCAATAAAGTTGCTTTAGAATAGTTTCTGGCATTTATATGTTAAAAGTATATAGTTTCATGTGATTCACACCTATATATTAAGAAGTTTCTGGGGCTTCCCTTGTGGCTCAGTGGTAAAGAATTTGCCTGCAACGCAGGAGATTCAGGTTTGATCCTTGGTCCTGGGAGATCTCACATGCCTTGGAACAACGAAGCTCATGCACCACAACTATTGAGCCTGGGTTCTCGAGCCCACAGGCCACAACTACTGAAGCCTGCACACTCGAGCCCATGCCCCGCAACAGAAGAAGCCACTGCAATGACAAGCCCAAGTACCACAAGAAGAGCATAGCCCCTGCTCGCCGCAACTAGAGAAAAGCCCACCCAGCAGTGAAGACCCAGTACAGCCAAAATAAACTGTTTACAAATAAGAAAATGTGTCCCCTAATCAAGAAAATTATTTAAAAAAATAACTGATAAGTCATAGCTAAGTCAACTGGAAGTGGATTTTTGCCAGTTCTAAATTCAAGACTTACATAAGCTCTCAACGTTAATTTCCAGTCTAAACAAAATAATCATTACCTCTGGGCACTGACTGGTAAGTCTCTGGGAACACTAATAAAGTTAAAACAATGAGAACATCATTTTGTATAATTTAGAGGTCTGTTTCCCAGTTACATAGTCTTACCAGTGAACAGAAGAATGTGAAATATTAAAATATACTCTCCTAATTTTTAACCCTATAAGATGGTGTTAATTTTGCCAACTCATAGATCCAATGGTAATGATACAAATAGTGAAAGTCAAAGTATTACTGTTACTGTTTTAGATGATAAGAATTTTTGCCAAAAGCTATCCGATCCTTATTGAATATAGGAATTCGGATTTAAGTCATTTTTGTTAAATGAATTAATAGCTGACACAATGATATAAATGCAAAAAAAAAAAAATGTTAGAATGAGCCAGTTTCTGCTCTCTTTTTTTTCTTTTTTTTTTAGAAAATCAGCATCTCCATCTTCTAGTGCAAGGCCCACTTTGATAATCTAGATGTTTTGACAGGTCTGAATCCCACAAAGTGTACCCAAGATGTTTAGACTAATTAGGAAAATAATAGGAAACTCAAATTCAGCACGTGGATCATGCAAACAAACAGTATGCTGGCAGCCTATAAAAGCATACCCAGAACCTACAACAATAAAATCACACAGGCTGTTCTCCAAATCGTCAATTCCAAAATTACAATAGCAGCGTTGGTGGTATAGTGGTACACATAGCTGCCTTCCAAAATTACAAAAAGCAGAGGAGAAAATGTTCCCTCCCCTTCACTATTTTTCCTTCCATTTGGAAAACCAATTCTACAAAACCCTAGAGAAGAAATAGCCATGGGAGTGCATGCTGTGTAGGGAAGCCGTAGACAAATGCCTCAGACTGCTGAGCTTTTATGAGTCCTTGAGCAGACTGATCCGGAAAGCCAAATAAATTGCCATGTTACACTGCCAAGTGTATTCATTTCCTATAGCTGCCTTAACAAAGTACCACAAACCAGGAGACTTAAAACAACCACAATTTATTCGCTCACAGTTCTGGAGGCTAGAAGCCTCCAAAACGAGGGCAGGGCCATGTTTCATCTGAAGCCCAAAGAAGAAAATCTTTTCTGTCTTCCTCTTGCTTCTGGTAGTAGGAGGCAGTCTTCAGGCTTCCTGGGCTTGCAGATGCCTCACTGGAATGTCTGCCACTGTTATCTAATGGCCATCATCTCCCTGTGAGTCTCTCTCCCTTCGTATGGCATTCTCTCTGACTCTTTTCTTATTAGGACACAGTCATATCGGATTAAGGACTCACCCACCCCAGTTTCTGTTAGTCACTCAGTTGTGTCTGATTCTGCAAGCCCATGGACTGTAGCCCACCAGATTCCTCTGTCTGTGGAATATACTAGGCCAATATTCCAAGAATATTGGAGTGGGGTGCCATTTCCTTCTCCAGGGGATCTTGCCAACCGAGGGATCGAACCTGGGTCTGTCTCATCGCAGGCATATTCTTTACCATCTGAGCTACCAGGGAAGCCCTGCCAACAAAGACCCATATAGTCAAAGCTATGGTTCTTCTAGTAGTCGTATACAGATGTGAGAGTTGGACCGTAAAGAAGGCTGAGCACCCAGGAATTGATGCTTTCAAATTGTGGTGCTATAACCCTTTTCCAAATAAGCTCCCTTTCTGAGATGTTGGGGATCGGGTCTTCAGCATATCTTTCTAGGAGACAAAATTCAACCCATAACACCTTCCTTCACACCAAAAATGAAACCATCATAACAATACAGCA